AGGCAGCTGTCTCGGCGCGGCGCAGCAAAACCTCCACCCTTCGACCTAATCCGCGATTGTTTCCAAATTGATTTCACAGCCATTCTCCGGGAGGGGGAGCTTAATCCTCCCTTCCCTCTACTCTCCAACCCTTTTCGGGTTTCATCAATTATGCATGTACCTTTCGCCTGCCTAGCAGTCAACCGACCAGACCTACTCCTCCTCCTTCCCCGTCTCTGCTGATCCTCTCGAATTATTTCGAGCGTCCTCGTAATTATCATTTTCTCCATCCAGTCTCGTTTTTATCGCGTTGATTTTGACGCCCCTTATTACAATAGATCATACGAATTTACGGACGGAGTGAAACACGAGCCAAATCAATAGGATATACGGGCCAGTTGTCAATCATACAATTGTATGCCACGATGCGTATGTATATATGCAATAGCAGTGACGAGTATCTCTCTCTCTCTATATGCGAGGGGTATATGTGTACATGTACCATGGATGCACACACGTACGCGGGTGGTTGGTAAGTGACGGGCGAGCACAATGCAATGTAACGAGAGACGCTTCAATTTCGCCATCAATTGTGTTTCCCCCCCGTTCCCCGTCCCACCCTTCGATGTTCCCGTAGACACATCGCTGCACCGCGCAATTACTATCTCCAATTAAACGCAGCGTACCTATCTTTACCCCATCCTCCTCGGCTGGCCCATCATCTAATTAGGCGACCGAGAAATCCTATCTTTCGAGGTTTTTTTTTTTTTTTTTTCATTTTTTTTGTTTTTTTTTTTTGCGTCAATTAGCCCCCCCGATGAGCTATAGACGAGCCGTCGACTTTGCTGCCGCTAGAGAAGAAAAAAAAAGCAAAAGACTTTCCTGTACAAACACTTTTCTCCCCGTGTGTATATGTATATGAGTGGTACACGGCCACAGGTACGGAGTTGGCTTCTCTCGGTATAGATCCCGTGTACACTTTTATTGCATGCATACAAGTGTACAAGAGAACGCCTGCACGGTATAGTTTTTATGTATAAGTTGGAGCGCAGAGAGAGAGAGAGCCAGTCAAGCAGGAAGCCCCGCCAGCAGTGACAGCAAGAACATGCACACAGCCCGCGCGGCGTCTGCTTTTGCCATTAATGTGACAAGGACACGCCACACGCGAACGCGAGGGAAGGAGCCCTCCCTCTCTCACTGCACGGCGTCACGGACAAGCATCCAGCCCCGAGGCTGTCTTATATATACCCCCCTCCCACCCGATAGTTCGCGTGAGTTTCTCTCTCCTCCGCTCCGGCCTATACGCTCACCCTCCCTTGAGTTATGTCGCGCTGTCGGCTGTCGTGCGGCGGCGGTGTCTCTCCTCGCTTTCCCCGCAAGACAAATACCCGCACATATTCTTTCTGTACATCGGTGCCGGGTACTTGTCGAATAAAACGATCGCTGCGCTTTTTCACCCCACGCGCTTCCCGATCTTCCGATAAATTTCCCCGTAAATCGGTTCGCGCGTTGAATCAGTGCATCGTGTGTGTCGCAGTGGGTCTACGCGCTCCGAATAATGAGCGGAAAAGGTAAAATATCGTACCACGTGGACATTGAATGGCTTTTGATTGCGAGAAAAAAAATTGTTAATTTATCGGTGATTCAAAGGGAATAAATAATCCACCCCCTGATGTAAATTGTTAAATTGCGTTGGAGCTATATCGCGTGGAGGGGAAAAACAAAGGGCTCGAGGGTGTACGAATAAGAAATTTTATTTTCAATACATGGAGCTCGGGATGGTGTATTATAGTACAGGGAGGGGTTACATTATGAGTGTGTGTGTGTGTGTGTAATAGTTGCGAGCACGTGTAGGGATTCGTAGATAATTATAATGCGGAGAGGCTGGCGTGCTGGGTAAATCAGATCGAGTCGCAGCCCACCTGAGCCAGACAAGTCACGAAAGGACCTGAGAGTGCAGTGCTTGGCTTCCACCCTCGTGCTTTACTCCCCCTTCCATCCGCGGAGCTAAGCGATTTGGGCTCACCTGTCTGAAGCACGACATCGACTTAATACGCACCCCTTAATAACAATGCTTGGTGTCGTTGTCGGGGGCAACGCGAAATTGCGTATAAATCGATGACACAACTCGCCGTTCTTTCACCCTCTCCCTCCTTATCGGCTCGATACGGCTTTCTTTGCGTTTACACTCTTATTCGCTCTCTTTCGATTTTCCTTCGCGTGCACTCGACCCGCTTTTTTCATCCCGAGTACCTATTGCCTTCCATGCCCAGTGCAATTTGTACGGGTGTTAAGTTTCGTGTGTGTAAGCATTGAGGGGACCAAATAAAACGTGTTTCACCCAAGCTGGTTTCCTTCAATGATTTCGGGTATTATCAAACGCAAAAAAAAAAAAAAGTAAATAGTAAACCATCACTGGTAATGTCGTGTCATGGGTGGCACACGGCGCTGACACTGGTCGTAGGTGAATGTCACTCGCGAGCGTGACGAGCTGCCGGGTTGCGTTGGCAAGTTGAACTTGAAGTGGTGCGCGCGCGCGTGTCTCTGAAATTCGCAAGTTCGCGTCCTCGACGGTAACAATAAGTGCGAGAGACGTGTCGCCCACATGTAGCTTATGTCATCAAATTTGCGTTGCGGCGGTGTTTTCGGAATGAGTAACTTGAGCAAAACTCCTCGAGTGCTCCTCGCCGACATTCATGGCTGATCGAAAACCCCTTTTACTACTCGTTTTCCACGCTTTACTTTTATTTACACTATACGTGAGATCGTTAATTCTGATTAAAAACGTTTTATTGTCATAAAAATTTCAAGTATTTTAAACTGGTCTACGTGAGATGGAAAAACTTTGACAACTTGAAAACATATCGGCTTGCGTCTGAACAAACTCGTATAATACTACTCATTTACGAGCTCCGTGCATTTTTTGCTAATTCATTATGAATTCGAACGTGTTGATACGGTTTCTTTTTCATCAAAAGTTTAATTAACTTCCTACTAGCTTTGAACATTTTTTTTTTCTTTTTTTTTTACAAATAAATTAATAATTTAATGTACAAATAAAAATTTTAATTTGTTTTTTTAACAAAAATGTTTGAGTAAATACCTGTTTAAACTTGCTTTATATTACTTAATTAACGTAAACTTCACTTGAATATTAAAAGTCCAAATATTGTTTAAAAATTTGTGTCTGACCAAAAAGTTTTTGTACCACTTGTTTTCGCTCGATTTATTAAACAGGTTATCATATAATTATTTATTCTAAGAACCATGGTAAATAAGTTTTATTCATGCTTTTGAAAACAAATTAAAATTAATTTGATTAATCTAATAAATCAATACTCGCCATTAATTGATGTCTGACCAAACAGTGGCTTTTCTACTTGTTTCTTACACATTAAATTTATTTACTAGTTATTTACCTGCTTTATTTTCCTCATCACAGAAATTATATTTTACGTAGTTACAGTTGTAAATACGTATAATATATTACTATTGTATGGTGTGTCTGACCAAACCCGTATTGTACTACTTGTCTTGGCGTAAATTATATTTAAACATTGGATGCTCAAATAAATAGCACATTTATATTTGATAAAAAAATGTTTATAACTTATTTTTCACTCGCTCAATTTTGCGTAACGTTTAACTTAAAAATTAACAATAAAGTAAATAACTTTAATAACTAATTTAATTCGAAAAACTTTTATCAAACTTTCATTACATCACTCATTTTGTATTTATTAGATTTAAATTTGAAAAATCTGGAATTCTCTTCAAAGTCACTAACAGAATTACGTGATTGAGATTAAAAAAATTGAATAATCTTAGTAAAATTCATGTTTTACTGAAAAGTTGTCGTACGTACCTATATAAAAACGAATTACGTCTGAATAAACTTGCATTGTACTACTTAATTTATATCAAATCGATTTTAGTATTGGAAAACCAGGATAATTCATTGCAGGTCCATGTTTGATTGAAAAATTTTTGTACTACTTCTTCATATATTATTTATTCGGTTTGTGCACCTGTTATTTAATAATTCAGTCTCGTGTCAATCACTTGTACTACCAACTCGTACTGTGCCAATCAATATTTTAAGCGGTTACAAAAGACAAAATCAGGTTAATATTGTCGTACGTTACGTGCGGCTGACCAAACTCGTATTGTACTACTTGATTAACAATAATGCAATTTATCCACATCCATAATGATGTCAATTCCTATTTCAATGCAAACCCCGTACGTAGGTGATTGTTACGTGCTATTGATGCTACTTTGGTCTTTTATTGAAACACCCTTGATGCTCTTACCGTGTCCAAAATGCATTTGTATGCTTATAAACTTCCAACGTATCGGATACCAATTTCATAAAAATACGATGATGCTTTTTTTTTTTGTTTCCCACTAAAAGGAAAAAGCAGTTGGAATAAAAGCCAACGGTAAACAAAGCAGGACCAAAATTGAAACGTACATGTACCAATGAGTGCTCGTAAAATGTAAAACAGATGGAAAAGTCGATATCGCTTTCATAAAAGAAACAAAACAAAAAGGGACAGCTCCCGCGACAGCGTATACAATGAAATCCGCAATCTGCACTCGCTTATTCGATCTATTTTCGACGAAGGCGCCTCGTATTCGCGGTATTCCATTGTCGTTCGGGAAAAGTTTATTTAACCTGATTTCAAGCATCGTAAATAAATCGCGAGAAGAGCGCAAGGTGAAGAGCACGAGGTAAGGAAGTTGCTGACACGACAACAAAGCGCCGGCGAGAGAGAGAAGGAGGAGAGTGGGGTGGGTCGGGGCGTCGAGGTCAGGCAGCTCGAGCGAGTACACTTGGAATGATAGATCGGCCCGATGGGCAGCCAATATGCGATATTGCAGCTGCTTGAGAAACGGCAAGGAGCCCTCTATGCATCAAACTACCGGCGCCGTGACTGTTTGCAGCGTGTAAACGCAAGGGCCCGTTTCGAGCAACGATCACGCTGCCCAAAGTGGAAAAAAAAAAAAAAGATACTTACCTAAAGGTGAGGGTGGTGAGGGGCCGGTAGCTCTTGTGGCTGTTGGGGTCGTGCATGGGAGTGCCCCAAAAGTCATCCCTGAGCAATTGGCCGAGTGGACTCTGGGCCAGTACGTCCCGGTTGCGCAGGATCGCGGGCACGTCGTCGTGGACAAAGTCACCGTGGAGGGAGTTCAGGTAAGCCCCGAGGCCGACCAGGCCCACGGCCAGGTAGACCCGCCAGCCGGCCGATTCGGTGGCATGACCCTCGGGTCCCGGGGACCGCCTCCCACTGCCGCAACTGCTGCTACTGCTCGAGCTAGCTCGCGAGCTGCTTTTACGCTGCTGCAGTTGGTGGTGGTGATTGTGGTGCTCGGGCAGGAGCTGCTGGTGGTGCAGCAGCTGGTGGTGGGACGACGGTCCCAGGAGGCCGCCCAGACGGCGCTTCATCGTCCCGAGGCCCGGTGCCACTGTTGATAACGATCACACTGGGACTCGGCGGGCCCCTCGCCTCGGGACTGCTCCACTGACCACCCCCTCCTCCGCATGTTCACCGCCTCGGCTCACTTAATACCTTATTTCCCTACGTGTGCTCGCAAATACACTAGTGGCGCGGCGCGGGTCGCGACCTACATTACAATGCGTGCGAGTGCTCCAGCGGGCGAGAGCCGTGCAATTTAAAACGGGAGGCGAGGAGGTCGGTAATAATAGGCAAGAGGGGCGAGAACGGGCGCTGCGTCCGGCTACGGCGGGGACGAGCGCGAGACTGAAGCGCGGAAGCACCCGCCCGGCTATATAGCCGACGGCGCACTCTGACCCGCAAGGCCGCGCCCGCGCACAGCCCAACGGCAGCCAACCCTCTCCTCCGCTACTGCAGCAGCTAGTACCCTTTCCTCCCCGTGCCAGTATCCTCTTATTCTTCTTCCTCCTCTCTTTCTGTCCCTGTGTAGCTGTTGCTGCTTCTTCAGTACTCCGTAGCCCCTGCCGCGGAAATCCACTTGCGGCCTACAGGCAGGTATGCCTAGCTCTCTTCCGATGCTACACACATACATATATATATATATATATATATATATATATATATATATACACGCACGGTAGAGCGTTTGTTTACTTTCACGAGCCATATAGCATGGCCAATACCCTCGGGCGCCCCCTCTTTTTTCCATTACGTATATATATGTACCTTTTACTCTTTTTATATAAGTACTCGTTGTCATTGGGTGCTCTTGCGCGCGTTTCTTCGACCTCCCTGGTGCCGATGAACCGCGATCCGGTCGAAAAAAAACTAATTAGCAACAACTACCCCCGAAGTCGCGGTTAATTTATACACCCCACGGGGAGAAAAATTATACCTATCTCGGTTCGTTCTTGGGACACTTTGTTCGAACAAAAGGTATTGCTTTTCACTCGCTCTATTTTGAATGGGAGGAAAAAGCGACAAAAGAGGGGGCAAAAGAACCGCGAGCGCTGAGTTTACCTGCTTTATGCACGATAGAAAAATTTCACCGCGAGAGAGACCAGCTCGTTACAACCACTGACCCAACTAGGTACAAACACACATACACTTGCACGTGCAAATATATTATCTATACGAAGTAAGGGGGAAGTGCTTACACGTCGGGCGTGTCAGCGAAAAGCTCTACGACAAGGGGGCACGTATATCCCGTAGTTGTCAAAAGACGATGCCGCTTGTTCCGTGCCAGGCTAATCCTCTTTCGAGTTGGTGTTCGTATCTTGCGTGCCGCGTCCGCAATTTCCGTCAAGAGCGAGCCGCGACTCTGCTCCCCTTTATTACGTATAACTATACACTCCTTACCGTTGCGCTTGACGAAACTAACCCCCCCCCCCGTCAGCAGGGACCATACCGGAACACACGCGAGTTTGACGTCACGTGAGATCTCACCGAATTACAAGCAAAAGGCGTTGCCCGACCACCGGGGATAGAACAGCCCCCCCCCTCCCGCCCTCCGGCTATCTGGTCCGAAGTCATCGGCTACTATTGCCCCGATTGTTGAAAGTAGAAGAGAAGAGAGAGAAAAAAACGCGTGGACGCGTGGTGCACTTATCAAAAGCGGGGAGAGGTAGCGAAAAGAGAGAAAAGCGCGCCTCGTCTGTTTGTTTTTGCCTCTTTTCGTTTCGAGCCCTGAAATCCAACTGCGAAATGTTGCCCTTTATTAAAAACGGAGCGACGCTTCCCCAGCCCTTCCTTTTTTTTTTTTTTTTTTTTTTTTTTTTTTCCTGGCGTAGGCAGTGCCTGAATGCTTGCGAGGCTTAGCCGTATATTGAAGTTCAATCAAACCGAACGAATCGGCGCACGCAGTGTGGTGGCTTTAGTCGATGTGCAGCGTACCGTTGCCCGCCGGTGGTGGTGGTGGGCGCTCGGAAAATTTCAGTAGCCCGTGAAATCTCGAAAACACACGCGCCTGTACCCGCCGCGCTTCTGAACCATTGAGTTTTGAATTCCTGCGCGTAATTGCTGAATTTGCGCGATCGGCGCCCAACTCCCGGGTATTTCACCCTCTCCCTCTTTTTTTTTTTTTTTTTTTTTTTTTTCACCGCTGGTGCTAATTGCAGTTGTCGCTTTTGCCATATACCTACATGGGCTTCTCTCTTTTGCTTTGTCGGTAAATCCCCCCGCCCCCCGTTTGGATTATATTAGGCTTGGAAAAACTTTTTTAAAAAGGGGGAAAAAAAAAGAAAGTCCAATGATGCTTGACGGTAACGATTACTGACACTCCCGGTGTACCTATAGTCATAGGCGACCCCTCGAATAATGACGATCCGAGAAGAGAGGCAAAAAATCGGACCTTTGTTTTTCTCTTTTTTGCACACACTTTTCCGCATAATCTGCGAATTTTACGCCGGTGGCCGTACACAATGTGTTACACACTACGTCGAAAAATCTGAAATTCAGGTGGTTTTTAGATCACCGAGGAAAATGGAAAAAGAAAAAAGTAGGATGACTCGAAAGGGGCTGCTCCCTTCAATGGGCACTCAAACTGGCTCTTTTTATTTTTTCCGGAGTGTAAGCCGTGGTGAGAAGGGGAGAAAGGAAAATTATACGGTTCCAAACATCTGAGGGAGGGCATGAAAATGTCCCCGTGAAAGAGGAAAAGCCCGATCGGCGATTACGATAGTTGGGAGGGAAAAAAAGGGCATCTTCTCAAACGAAACAGCAAAGGGGGAGGAAAAAAAAAGGTCTAGCGCGCGGCTGACCGAAATTTTACAAGCCCCCCTAACGAGCGTGCCGGGCTGAAATATATTCGCAGAACCGGAGCATCGGAAAGCTCTCGAGAGAGAGAGACGCAAAGTGCACTTTGCACCGAGCCGTGCGCGCACACACGAGAATCAATGAAATTGGAGCGCAATTTGCGGCGTAATCCAGAAAGCCGCGGATGGGCAGACATTATACAGAACCGACTCTTTTCGAGCACGCGAGCATTCGGCGTTTTGCATCGTCAAGAGGGACATAAGCTATATGTACCCCATGCCGGTATATGTATATATGACCCGAAACATCGACTCTGCGTTTTTACCGATCACAAGTGTCCGTTATAGTACTCGACAACCGGTTACAGAACAGTACGAGGGAGGGGGTGGAGGAAAAAAGTGCCAACGGAGGCCGGAAACTTTTCCAATTTTCCTCGGCTCGGTATTTATAGTTGGCGCAAACACTTTGCTTTCTGCGATTCCTTACACACTTTATCCCGCCACCCGGATGCATGAGTTAACGCGGACGTTACATCATCGGACTCGAGAACCCACAACGGGCGCCCTGACTTTTCTGTACTTACGTGTATAGGTAGTGGGCGTGGGCGAGCAAATCCGCACTTTTCATCCCACAGACACTGGTATTTGCAAGAGGAGCAAATGAAAGAGGGAGAAAAAGGTGCAGTTGTCGGGGAATTCGTGGGGGCTGTAACGCACATAAACCCCGTGTGTGTAATTGAATAGAAGAGCCGGGTCTTGGAGGGTTGGGAGGTGGGGGAGAAAATCGCAAGGTGCCAGAGCTCTGGGAGAGCCGGGAAAAGAGAGGAAATTGAGGGTGGCAGCAGTTGGGCCTGGCGCGCAGCGGCATCTGATAGGGCGGCAAGTGCTCCCGCTAAGGCGCAATGTAACACACGGGGAAGGGAGGGAGGGAGGGAGGGAGGAGCGTGCCTGTGTCGGAGATAACATTCACGTATAGGCAACTGCGAGTTTCGCTCCCTCGGCGAATCCACCGACTCGCTCGCTTAACTTATCTTGGGCGGCGTTTTTGCAAGGAAGCTCCGTTTGCTTGTACACGTAACGCGAGAGTTATCTTTCCGGCCCCGACGTTTACTGATTTTCCCGCGATTGTTATACACTCGGTGCTGGCAGTCCCGCTCGATTGACACCAGCCAACCGACAGCTGCTTCTCCCTTTCGTTTACTCGACTGATGTGCTTTTATCGCGTTTCAAACTTTTTTTTCTCCCCCTACCCCATATCTTCCCCTTTATCCCTCTCGATAAAATCTCCCTTCCATCGCTATAACTGCACCGTGTAGGTGGAAAAAAGAGAATGTCGTATTGTTCCCAGTTAAATTATCATCCACCCCATCCATATGTAACAAACTTCGCATCCAAATAACGGGCAATTAAAAATATCACAAGAACAAACATTATATAAATCCCGCGTTAAACGCCTTTGATTCCCCGGCTCCGTGTGCACACAGCGCCCGCGTGCCATTCACCGCTCCTCCGTTTCGAATTTTACTCGAATTAATGCCACCGGCGTTCAGTAGCCACGGTTTGATCATCATCATCGTCATGATTATTATTGTTGTTATTTACAAATATTTCGGTATTTGCAGAAGCGATAAATACCCACTGGGAGTTGGATGATTACAACCACCGACGATTCAATCATCGGCGAATTGTTTATCATTTCGAGTTAAAAGCAACAAATGTGCCCGTTGTTTTTTACCGCGAGTAGAAAAAATCTCGATTGTCAATTTTTATGTATGCACATGTATACAGGTCGCATCGAAAAGGAGCACACATAATGGGACAAAAAGGGGGGGGAAAAAATGTCGACCGCGGCTCTCTCGGAAATTCGTCGGCCAAACTTGCCCCATCTAATCTCCCGGACACGAGTGTCGACATATCGTGGCCGCGGGCAATAATTCAAGCCCACAGTGCTGCAGGACAAGGGGCGCCAGGCAGAGGGGGAGGGAGGGGAGAGGTTAAAGCGGGTCGCGCGATATTCGCCCGCTGCGTGGATGCGGGACGCAAAAAGGGGTGGTAGGGGGGGAATAAACGTTACATTTAATTAAAACGCAGCGAGTGGCTCGCGAGTGGAGGGCCGCGCCGGTGTCAGCGCACGCCAGGGATTAATAAATAACTGCGTCGAACGCGAGCCCCTTACCCTCCCCGTGCTCGGCCGTGTACATATAGATATACACCAGTTAGGTGTACGAGCGAGTGTCTCGATGTATGGTGGTGGTGTTGGTGCGCTTCCATGCACGTACACGTATGTATACTCTGCCGGCGGCAACGTCGCAATTAATCCGTCATAACGCGCCTGCTGAATGGCGCGGTGTGCGCAACGCTATATACTTACCCTATATTTATATATTTCGCTGAAACACCATACACCCCGACGACCAAAGCCAAACTGCAGAGGGTATAATGTATCTTTTGCTCTTCGTGTGCCCGTTGCGTGTGAATTTGCATTTTTCGCGTTTCGTGCCACGATGCACTCGCCCATTCGTGGAAT